AGCTGCTCACCCCACCCCGGATCCGGCCTCCCGTAACCTGTCCTGCCCGTCCTGCCTGTCCTGCCACCACCCTCCTGCCTGCCCGGCAACCCTGCCCGCTTCCAGCCTCCTTCCAGCCTCCTTCCAACCTCCTTCCAGCCTCCTTCCAGCCTCCTTCCAACCCTCTTCCAACCTCCTTCCAACCCTCCTCGCAACTCCCTTGCCCATCTTGCAACCCCCTTGCCCGTCTCGCGACTCCCTCGCGCCCTTCTTCCAAATTTCTCGCCCGTCTCCCAACCTTCTCGCCCGTCTCGTGACCCTCCTGCCCGCTCACCATGTCCGTCACCATCACCAGGAAGACGGTGAGAAGCAGCTCGGTGGTACCCGGCCGTTCTTTCAGCTCCCACTCCTACACCGCCGGCCCCGGCGTGAGGATGAGTACGGCTTCAGCCTTCGGGGGTTACGGTGGGAGCCGTTACGGAACCGGGCTGTACCGGGGTCCGGCCGTCGTGCCTGGGACGGGGGGTGGCATCACGGCCGTCAGCATCAACCAGAGCCTCCTGACGCCCCTCAACCTGGAGATCGACCCCAGCATCCAGCGGGTGCGCAAGGAGGAGAAGGAGCAGATCAAGACCCTCAACAACAAATTCGCCTCCTTCATCGACAAGGTGGGGCTGGGCTGGGGGGAGACCCCGCAGGGAGAGGGATGGGACCCCCCCTTGGGGACCTCCGGGGTCCCTCGGGGACATCTTCACCCGGTCAGGCACACCCTGAGCCCCTCAGGGACTTTGAGACCCCCTCGGGGACCTCCTGGCCCCTTCAGGTCCATCCTGAGCCCCTTGGGGACACTGAGACCCCCTTGGGGACCTCCTGAGCCCCTTGGGGACCTCCTGGCCCCATCAGGCACACCCTGAGCCCCTTGGGGACACTGAGACCCCCTTGGGGACCTCCTGACCCCCTGGGGGACCTCCTGGCCCCTTCAGGTCCATCCTGACCCCCTTGGGGACATCCTGGCTCTCTTGGCGACATCCAGACATCCTTGGGGACACCCTGACCCCTTTGGTCACATTTTGGACCCCCTTGGGGACCTCCTGGCCCCTTTGGGGACATCCAGACCCCCTTGGGGACACCCTGGCCCCTTCGGGCATGTTTTGTCCCCCTTGGGGACCTCCTGCCACCCTTGGGACCCCCATCGCCCCCCTCAGGGACCCTCTGACCCCCTTTGGGCCCATTTCCCCCCCCCCTTTGGGACCTCCTGGCCCCCCCTGGGGACACGCAGCTGGCTGTGGGGACACCCTGGTCCCCTCCCACTGCTGGGGACATGGCGGCCGAGCCTGCGGGCAGGGAGCGGCGTCGGAGCAGGAGCTGGGATGGGACGGGTTGGGGGGGGAGCGTTGCCTGCCCCCCTCCCAGGTGCAATGGGGGCACCCCCAGTCCCACCGGCACCCAGCACCTTCCTCTCCGGCACCCGCTTCCGGATGCTCCGCTGGGGTTGGGTTCCTCGCCCCATCGTGGGCTGGGGGGGGACAAGGGGGTTCCCCTGGGGGCAACCCCAGATTGCACCCGGCACCCCAGGTTTACACCCCAGACCTGGCGACCCCAGACTCGCACCCCAGATTGCACCTGGGACCCCAGGTTTGCACCCCAGACCCGGCCACCCCAGACTTATACCCCAGGACCCCACAAGCACCCCAGACCCAGTTTGTACCCCAGGACTCCAGAATTGCCCCCCCAAGACCCCCTGGCTTGCACCTGGGACCCCAAATTTGCACCCAGGACCCCAGGTCTGTCCCCTGCCACCCCTTTCCCTCTCTGCCCCTTGCAAACCAGCACCTGGGACCCCCAGCCTCGCACCCAGGACCCTCAGCCTTGCGCCCCAGATCCAGCTTGCACCCAGGACCCCAAATTTGCACCCAGGACCCCAAATTTGCACTCAGGACCCCAGGTCTTCCCCCTGCCACCCCTTTCCCCCTCTGCCCCTTGCAAACCAGCCCCGAGCACCCACGTCCACGACCCACCTCGTGCAGCGGAACCCGTCCCCAGGGTGGGATTCGTGGGGTCTGGGGGGGGTGACGCTGACTGCCCCCCCTTTCCTCCCCAGGTCCGGTTCTTGGAGCAGCAAAACAAGATGCTGGAGACCAAGTGGAGCCTCCTGCAGAACCAGAAGACCACCCGCAGCAACATGAGCGGGCTTTTCGAGGCGTACATCGCCAGCCTGCGCCGCCAGCTCGAGGGACTGGGCCAGGAGCGCCTGCGCCTGGAAGCCGAACTGGGCAACATGCAGGGGCTGGTGGAGGAGTTTAAGAACAAGTCAGTTCTTAAACTTCTTGGGGTGTCGTGTGCGGTGGGGGGCGGTTGGGGATGCGGCACGGGCCCCCTCGGTGGCGGCGTCTTCGCCTTGGGGTGCAGCGTTCCACCGTGTCGCTGAGGTGTTAGGGATGCTGGGATGGGGCTGGAGCATCCCCTCCGGCTGTCATCGGGGCGGCTTTGGGCGGGGAAGGTGGTTCTTCCACTGCGAGAGGCATTCGGGTGGATGGGACCCCCTGTCCCTGCATCCCTGTGTCCCTGTGTCCCCGCATCCCAGTCTTCCATGTCCCCGCATCCCTATATCCCCCACATCCCTATATCCCCTGTATCCCCATACCCCCAAGTCCCTGTATCCCCATATCCCTGTATCCCCCATATCCCCATGTCCCTGTATCCCCAAGTCCCTGTATCCCCATATCCCTGTATCCCCATATCCCCGTATCCCCCATATCCCCGTATCCCCCATATCCCCATGTCCCTGTATCCCCATGTCCCTGTATCCCCCATATCCCCATGTCCCTGTATCCCCAAGTCCCTGTATCCCCATATCACCATATCCCTACATCCCTGCATCCCTGTGTCCCCCATATCCCCCACGTCCCCTCATCCCTATATCCCCCGTATCCCTGTGTCCCCATATCCCCATGTCCCCATATCCCTGTATCCCCTGTATCGCTGTCCCCCTCCATCCCCAGCTCCAAGCCCTCCCCTCTTCCCCAAGGTACGAAGAAGAGATCAACCACCGCACTGAGAAGGAAAATGAGTTTGTGCTGCTCAAAAAGGTGAGTGGGGGGCCCCAGGTCTGGTAGGGGCCAGGCAGCCGGGGGGGGGGGGGGGGCTGACGGGGCCAGGGACAGACTGACGGGGACGGGGACGGCCTGACGGGCTGCCTGCTCTGCCCCCAGGACGTGGACGAAGCCTACATGAACAAGGTGGAGCTGGAGTCACGGCTGGAGAGCTTGACCGATGAAATCAATTTCTTGAGGCAGCTTTATGATGAGGTACGGGGTCACCTCCCTTGGAGGGGGGCCACACGTGCACCAAGTTGCCCATGCTCAGCCCGGACGCCGTTCCTTGCCTGCAGGAGCTCCGGGAGCTGCAGTCTCAGATCTCCGACACCTCCGTCGTCCTCTCCATGGACAACAACCGCAGCCTGGACCTGGACGGGATCATCGCCGAGGTGAAGGCGCAGTACGAGGACATTGCCAACCGCAGCCGCGCCGAGGCCGAGAGCATGTACCAGATCAAGGTGAGCCGGACCACCAGCCCCGGGATGCGGGATGCTCCAACCTGGCCCCCCTGTGCTGCTGGTGCTCCCCGCTCCTCCCTGATCTGGGATGAAGGAAGCGCAGGCTCCTTCCTCCTCCTCCCTGTGGCTTCACCCTGCAACCCAGCCGGGCAAACACCCTCCCTGCCCCGGAGCAGGCGGCTGCTGCGTGGGAGAGATCCCGGCTCCAAACCCAACCGGAGCCGCCACAGCCCAGCCTGGAGCATCCCTCCTGGCGTGGGCACGTCCCGGCTCTTTTCTCCCCAATTTTAGGGGTGCTGGGGGAAGGAGGGGGGGGGGTCTGGGGGGGGGGGGGGCACCCCATCTCCATCCTGCCCGCTCCGGTCTCTGCAGTACGAGGAGTTGAAGACGACAGCCGGGAAACACGGCGACGACCTGCGCAACACCCGCAGCGAGATCAACGAGCTCAACAGGCTGATCCAGAGGATCCAGGCGGAAATCGAGGCGCTCAAGAACCAGGTCTGGGAATGGCCCCTGGGGTGGGAAAGTGGGGAGACGCTGCCCGCTCCTCCCACTGTCACCCTCCCCTACCAGCACCCCCATGGCCCCTCGAGCCCCCCCCCAGCTACCTGCAGAATCCTGCTGACCCTACCCATGGGAACCCCAAATCGGAGGAGGGATCGATATCCCAGAGATGCTGGGGGGGGGGTGTCATAGCCTGGGGGATGCTGGGGGGCATGGGGGATGC